AGAGTCTCAAAACCCTTCACGGAATATACTGTAAAGTGACTTGACAGCAAATGTGCAAGTGCTGTTAACAAATAGGCTCTCTCTTATTCCCCCCAACCTCCAGAGCTGGTTCCATACTTAGCATCTATATATTATTATATATATCTTCGTGACCACCTGAAAAACCTTGAAGGCTTTCAGATCGAAAGCTGAAACCTCATCAGTGCAGAGATGTGTGACTCTAGACTTTCATAGCGGACGAAGATTCAGGTCACTGGCCCTGACTCTCTCAGCGAACTTCGTCACCTGTTCTCGGGTCCCTCTAAAGCCTTGACTTTAACACTGGTCAAAACCTGCTGTAGCTCAGTAATGCTATGCAACTCAAACTGTGGAGGTGCCTGTTAAGGCAGGTCCCGTGCTAATTGATTTGGATACTTGTTTATTACATAAAAGAGTTCATTTACCATTGAGAGAACGCGTTCAGCAGTTTCTCGGGAGAAGTAATCGGATGTTTCAGACAGATGGCTGCTAAGTCCATTGTTTCCTGTGTGAAAAGTCTGATCTGGAAACAGAGTGGCTGAAAATCCAAAGTGTTGGCGCAGAGCTCTCTCTCTCTCTGGCTCGTAAAGGAAGGCACTGTTTGGAGCATTGACCGTGTTAAGCGACGTATCGAACAAGCGTGCTGCTGCCCTTGTGTATCCGAATGTTTCAGGAGAGATTGCAAAAGTGGATGATCTTTGGTCACCAAAAGGTTGTTGTTTTTTGTTAGAGGAAACTCTCTGGGAATGTTACTCCTGGCAATAATCCGTGGCCTCTCTCCAAAGGCCCTCAGCTCCCTGATCCCACGCACGTGTGGGTCAGAGAGAGTGTCGGAACAACTGTGAAGTGAATCCGCCGAGTCAGGGTGGTAGGTGTTGTCCTCTTGGTGAAGCTTTCCCCGTCGTTTGGTGATACAAGCTAATCCGAGTTTTATTATAATCACTGCACTTGACAGCAATGTACAGTGCACAAATCGGCTGCCTACAACCGTTCAGTCACTCCAATTACCTGTAGAAGAGGCCTTGGGATGTTTTGAAGTTTTTAGGCGATTTTTCAAATGCAAGGATTATTATTCCCCCCTCTATTTGTCTTTGGTCCCTTCCCCCTTCCCTTTGCTCATTGTCTGACCCTGACTTTGTGAAGTATTCTATGTAAAGGGAACTATATAAATAGGCGGAGTTGGTGGAAGTTTATGCCGTGGGTTATGATAATGGCAGCAGAATCTTTTTTGTTCTAAGTGATCTCTTGCAGCGTGGGGGGGGAGGAGACCAGGAGTTGGAAACTAAAGGCATTCGAGCCTTGTTGTACAGAATTTTCTTTAAAAAAGAAAGCAGTAACACCTGCTAATAAATGTGTACATTATGACGTGCACCGTTCCTTCACAAACACAGAAACAACTTATTGGCTTAAGTTATTATGTGGTAGTTACCTTAGTTTCCTAAGGTTTTTTTTCTGTTGCTTGTTCAGTTGCTAAACGCCTGGATTTTATCCCAGTTCTTTTGTTCAATTTGCTTCAAAGCCGTGCAAATTATTTTATTTGCGGAACAGTCGAGGCTTTGTATCTGCGAAGCAACAGCAAAATTATTGGCTGGTATTTACATAAATGGTTTTTAACTTTGCTGGAATGACTTTGCATACCACGAGCAGCTACTTTGGTTGTTATGGACCAGTGCCTTTCCTCATTCCATCAGCTTTCACACCCATCAATGACTTTCAGACATGTCTTTGTTGTTTTCTACCCCTTCCTCCACCCCGTCAGACTCTATGCTATTTCCGATCAGTTACAGATGAAACAGGAAGCAGACTTGGAACTGTTACCAACTGAGCCAAGCTGGCACAACTTATTTTTGGTCAGCCGGGTGCCTGACACATTACCTGATGCATGCAGAAACCCATCGTTGTGCTTAAGACTATCGTAACCAGACTTAGAGTTCCACACATGTATGCCACCTTGCATAGGAATTTTCACCCAGGCCCCCCCCCCCCCCCCCCCCCACACACACACACACACTCTCCCATCAAAACAAATGGCTGGATAGAACCTCTCTCTGTTTGTACAGATGTAGTAGATTTTAAGGCATTTCATTAACTGAGCATCATACTTGACACATCGTTCTGTGATTTCCTGAAGCATACTGTTATTACTGTACGATAATTGGAGTCTGTAATGACACTGGGAGCGAGCTTCCTGTCAGGTTCAGTGGCCAACGTCTCTTTGGGATAATCAGACAGTGAGTGCTGCTACTGTGAGCTGAATCAGCATTGAATCAGCAGTAAAAGATCCTTGAGTACGGAGAAAGATTCTGTGGAATGCAATCACTCAATGGAGGGTTTAATTTGACCAACCTGGCTAATGGATATTGTGTTGTGGCTGACATCTTACAATTTGTTTTAGAAAGCCAATGCCTTATTACTTAAAAGCATTCATTGATTTATTATCGATAGCACTGTACTTTGAAAGTGCAGAAAAACTCAGCAAAAGGCCTTTTCCCTCATCGGTTTCTGTGAGCCATCCATTATTCATTGAAGGTTTCTCATTGGGGATGAGGGGAGGGAGCTATTGGATACGAAGGTCATGGACATGCTAAAGAACCATTTAATACATAGAAGGTGGCCATTGGGCTACAGAGTCTTATGCTGACTCAGTGAAAGAGCTATCTGTTTAGTTCCTTTCTTCAGTTTTGCTCCACAAAATATACAGTTTCACTTTATAGTATATTCTGTGAAGCGCTTTGAGGTGCCTCAAAGGTGCTATATCAAAAGCAAGGATTATTATCATTATCCTCATACCCTTTTATAGTTCACAGTATGATTTTCTTAGGTATAGAGTGTTAGCATTCATCATAAGATTTTGATTCACTCCGCACTCTCTTAAGTCTGTCAATTAGAGACGATGAGAGATGATTTCGCCCACAAAATACGCATTCTGCGTGATCTTTGAATTTCAAGGTGATTTTTGCTCTCACGAAATGTCAGCATCTGAAAGCGTAACTCATGCGATGAGCCCAAGGGTTTAATGCGTTTCCTTCCTTCATAAATATTGTGACAGGAAAATGCAACCAGTGCAGACTTACTGTAAAAAGGGAGCGTGTTACTGGAATCAACTGAAGTGTGTAAGAGGTGGTTCCTAAGACAGAAGTGAGAAGCTTCACCATTAGGGATAGAGAGAGAGTCGGACAGCTAACATGGAGAGAGACACTAAATGAAGCACTAGAGTAGTTCCTTGGTTTAACACTCCCCCATGGAGCGCATCTCTAATTCCCTTTCCTTTACCACTCCCTGACGGAGATGTCCCATTTAAACGCCTAGCCTTTGTTAACAATCACTTAGAGTGTGTGGGTGTATATATATATATATATTCCTGGCTTTCCCCAACAGGACTTACGATCATTTGTAGCAGGAAAATCTAAAAGTCGGGATTATATCTCGGTCATGTGTTCCATCTTTCCTGGAAAGGAGGAAGTGTTTACACAAACTAGACAATACCAGGAAACCCTACACAGTAATAATATCGAGAACGACCTTCCTGGTGAATATCTCACACTGCTGAACTTTGCAAACACAGTCCGCTTGCCTCGGAACTTGGTTGTTTGCGATGGGAACGCTGGAGTCCGATTGTATCTGCTGTAAATGGCCTGAAATTCCACCTCGTCTGACCCCGTAGAACCACGAATCTTAAGATTTGTGATTGGTCAGAAGGGTCCCTCGCCCCAGTCCCGCCCGAAAAAAAAAATCCTTTAATCCAATCTTAATTGACCAGTCTTTCTCCCTCGCTCCAGCCCGGTTGTTCTTAAAAGTTCTCAAAAGGAATCCAGCTTCCAAATTGAGGCTTGAAGATTTTACTACAGATTTGCTTTAACGTTCTTAAACGTTTCAAACAAAATAGTCTTGTCTCGTAGAATAAGTTGGGCTCAGCGGATTTAATAGAAAAATGTACTGCCGTTCTCGACCCAGCTTTGCGTGACAGCATTTTAAGGTGATGGGTCAGCAAACCCAATATCAGCTTGCGTCTCGAGCTATATGGAAATGCCGTGTCCAGTCATGAATATAAAGAGCTACACGTTTGCTAAATTGAAGATGACGGTAATATTGGTGGGGGGAGAAGGATTATTTTGACTTTGCTGTAGTTGTTCTTCATATCTGATGCCACCTGGAATTTGAATTTGGCGGCTTTAGCTTTTTTATAAAAAAAATTCATTCCGCTCCCCAAAGTTGTCACCTGCCTTCCCCCTGTAGAATTGTACCCGGCAGAAGATTGCCAATGCCGTTCAGGGTTCATCTTACTGTTCTGTTCCGTTGGTTGATTGTACTGTTCCACGCGCGAAGGCATTGCGTCCAGGAAGCAACAACAACTTGCATTTGTGTAGCACCCCTCGTGCTTCAACGGTGTCACTTCCTGCGTATGTGCGCAGGAAGCGCCGATGTTGCCACCTCACACGGGCGCGTATCTGAGGCGGGCAGGAAGTGAAGAGAGAAGCACTTTTTGCGCATAGCGAGCAACCGGCAGGAGTTGATGTCAGTGGGGATGTGATGACCCAGGTGTCGGACATTTTTTTTCCACCGCTGATTAAGGTCCCAGACCGTTGCTGTCGTCTCGTATAATCCTCCGCCTTGTCCTATACCTTAATTTTCCTTGTTCCCAATTTTCTAGCTATAGGAAGTGATTGATTTCCTATGACCCAACCATTGTAACACATTTTCCTGTTCGTTTTTCCTCAGCCAGAAATTTGTTGTGACATATTTCTCTTGAAAATCAAGATGTGTAGATACGGGGCAATTAAAGCACAAGTTTTATAAAGATATGTTACCCAAAAGGTGGTCGCTCAGACCAAGAGGGAGTTTGAATATTTCTGGTAAAAAAGTTGAGCAGTGTACGCTTTAATTCCTGGAAATATTTGCTTTGAACGCTTTTTTTAATGTAAAAAAAATTGTACGGCCAAGACGCTTATTTTAGATTTTTCTTTCTTCTTCCCTTCCCACAGAATCCGCCCACAGTCAGGCAAAGAGAAGGTCGAGGGGTGTCACATCTGTACCCTCGTCACCCCTGGGGAGCCCCAAGTCATCCTGGGCAAGGACAAAGCCTTCACGTTCGACTTTGTCTTTGACACTGAGGCCAGGCAAGAGGAGATCTACAATGCCTGCGTGTACAAGCTCGTGGACGGCTGCTTCGAAGGCTACAACGCGACAGTGTTTGCTTATGGACAGGTAATCGAAGAGTATTGGTTAGAGCGCTCACCTCGCGACTGAGAGGACCGGGTTCGATTCCTGGGCAGGGCCAAACGTTAGGCAAGTTTCCTTACTCCACACGCCTCTATTTACCTCGCAGTAAGTTGGAACCCGGTTGTTAATAGATTGGGGGATTGCTTTTCCGGCGGTAATAATCCCTTCAAAAAAAATAAATAATTTGCCCATTCAATGTTTGTTTGTGGGACGTTGCTGTGATCAATTGGCTGCTGCATTTCGCCTGGAAATATAGAGTCAATTCACTTGACAGGATATTCTGTGGAGCGCTTTGAGATGTCTCGAAGATGTGACAAGCCACTATATCAAATGCAAGGATCATTATTAATAATCGGTCAGTTTGGTGCCATGACAAGCTGTTAACAGTACGCCAGGAGAACAGGGTGAAATGTCAACCTGTAAAATGTTTTTCATATGATTCAAATCAATAATTGGCAACTTTTTTTTATAATAAGATTGCAATTTCATCAAAGGTTTCTAATTAACTTCAGACGAGAAGTACAGTAAATGAGAATCAGTAATTACCATGCAGAGTTTTGATACTATCCTATCATTATTATTTATAATTGGCTTTCGGCCTAAGCTGTTCTATTCTTGATTCCTTGCTTCCAGACTGGTTCTGGGAAGACCTACAGCATGGGGACAGGGTTTGACCTGAACATCAGCGTGGAAGAAAAGGGGATCATTCCACGTGCCATCAAACATCTGTTTCTTGGGATCAAAGAGCGAAAGCAAGCTGCTCAGTCGCTAGGGACCTCACCACCAGAGTTCAAAGTCAGCGCTCAGTTCCTTGAGGTATGTTCATTATATTTCAGGTGCTAATAGCTCCAGAAGCTCCCGATATACTTCCAGATGTAGCATTGTTGAACTCATTTAGGTACAAAGGTAGGGATAGCAATACCTAACATTAGTTTAGTGCTTTGAAACCTATTGAATATCTGGTCATGAGATACTCAATAGGTTTCTGTTGAAAATTTCGTAATGTGATATTCAATAGGTTCTCAATGCACTAACGTATTGCCAAGGCTCGTGTTCAAAGAAGTGGACGAACAGCCACTTAGAGGAGGCAGCAGAGAGGTACCATAGCTTTGTTCAACGCCTTGGGAAATGAGAGGAGAGAAATGGTGGATAGTCGAATCAAGGCTTGACAAAGTAATTTCAAAGTTGGGTCGGATTCATAAGCAAGAGCACAGGTGAAAAAGTCTAACTAACGCACTTGTAATATACTCGTTAGGAGGTAAGCTTCAATTAATACAAAGGGTAGATTTCTCCTTCCCCCAATTCATTTCAACAAAGGTGGGCGAATTAAAGATTCAAAAACATTAGTAATGTTGAAAGTAAAATATTGGGTGGTAAATTACAGGATAAAATTGAAACTAAATTAATAATGTGTCCCCAAGGTGCTAATATAGTAATGTTATGTACTTCAGAGCGGTGTGTGAAGAGACTTTCCTTTCTCTTTTGACAGCTTTACAACGAAGAGATTCTGGACCTCTTTGACGGAGCCCGTGGGATGGATTCGCGGTACAGAAAAGGCAACATAAGAATTCACGAAGATGCAAATGGGAGTATTTATACCACAGGAGTCACCTCGCGGAACGTTACTTCAGAGGAGGAGGTTGGTTGAGCAGAGAAGAGTGACAGTGTTCCAACTTTATGTGTCTCCGGACATCATTGAAGCAGATCTGAATCTAGTTATGCTATAGTTCTTGTTTGACCTACTTCTAAATCAGCATTGAGCAGCTCAGCAGCCCTGTCTTGCCTTGGGACGTCCTCCCGATGTGAAAGGCGCTGTACAAATGTAAATTGCTGCTGCTGTTGCTGCCTGTGTGTAGTTGCTGCTGTGTCCGGTGCTACTGATAACGATGCTGACCCTAATCTCGGTCAGATAACGGCTGCTTTGAAAGCACGGCTTCCTTGTCTCATCTTTCCTCCTGCAGATGATGCAGTGCCTGAAGGTTGGCGCGCTCTCTCGCACCACGGCCAGCACGCAGATGAACGCCGAGAGCAGCCGTTCTCATGCCATCTTCACCATCCACATCTACCAAATGAGGCTGTGCTCCAGGGCAGAGATGGTAAGACCTCTGGGCAAAGTTAAAGCTGAACGACAATTTCAGAACAGATACCGGAAAGCAGTTCTTTACCCAGAGGGTAATTAACCACCGCAAACAGGCAGCCATTAAGGGTGATTGAGGCCAGCAGACTGAACTATGTTTTTTTTAAAGAAAAAAACCTTGATGCTGTGATGGGAGGGAGGACAGAAGGGTAGGTATTCTGAAAGGATGAGATCAAATGGGCCAAGCTTGCGAAAGCCAAACAAACCAAACAACCACCAGATTGCCAAGGACAACAACTGTAGTTGTCTTTTTGTGTTGAGCTCAGTGCAGGCCTCAAGTTGGAACTGATCACTGAGATGGCTCTGACCTGCAGACGCTCTTTCCATTCGAGCTTCAACTCTATAAATTTTCTCACAACGGCAATATGTTCCCATTGATTCATTGATTGATTGGAGTCCGTTTTAATGAGACACTTAAGACAGAAAAATCAGCGGCAATAATGGACAACGGCAACAACCAGGTGCAGAATTAAAACCAGGCACCAGATCTGTGGTGTTTGTGCCACCAGCTGTTGAGAACAGGGTTAAAAACCACCGCAAGTTGCCCCCCCGCCCCTCATGTGTTTCTTCTTGAGGTTGGATGAATGGAGCGTTCCTCTTGTTGTGCTGCTTGTGTGTAAACCCAATGTTTTTTTTGTTTTTTTTTTGCTCTTCTTCAGGTGAATGGGGAGGTGAATGGAGTCGAACACGATGCCCCGCCAGTGAACGAGTACGAAACCCTCACAGCCAAATTCCACTTTGTCGACCTGGCTGGCTCCGAGAGGTTGAAGCGCACAGGGGCAACAGGGGAGAGGGCCAAAGAGGGCATTTCTATCAACTGCGGCCTGGTAAGTGGGATGGGAAATTGTACCTCGTCCACTCTGCAAAATCTGCCACCAGGTATTTGAACCCAATATCTGTTGAGTTTCGAAACAGAAGTCGCTGGGAACATGCGTCAGGTCAGGCAGCATCTGTGGAGAGAGAGGAAAGTGAGTTAACGTTTCGGGTCGATGACCTTTCATCGGAAAAAATTCTATTGAATTTTTAATCTTTTTATGAAGGCATGGGTACGTCTTATTGCTCTAAAGAGCCCAAAATAACCTGGACGTGTCTGTCGTCAATAATGCTCCGTGTGTTCAGCTTTATGTGTGGTGTAGCGATGGTACAAAGCCCACCGATAAGGTATCTTAGCTTCTCTCACCACTGCACCCCATCCCATTGAAAGGTGGGCACCCTCTGAGAGTGCAGCACTTCCCCAGAGCATCAGCCTGGATTGTGAGCTCCAGGTCCCGACTTGAGCCAAAGCTTCACAATGAGCTCCACAGCTAAAACCGGAGATGCGTGCATTTCGACTTGAAGCATCATGCTAACCTCGCTGATGTGCTGTGTGAGTGAGTGAGTTCAACGTCTGTCGTTCCCTGGGGTGAAGTACTGTGGCTCGCTGACCCAGATCCAACAGGCATTGAGTTGAATCAAACCAGCAGCAGAAACTGATCCGATTTGGAGGTCTCGTTCACATTCATCTTGTCGTGTCGCGCTGACTTACCAGAAACGGTCAGATTTTATATACCTGGAGGGCACTTTTGACATTCTTACAGCATAATACTGATTGAACTCGACTACTGTTATAGCTGTATAATCGCACAGCACATGAGCTCGTCTCAACCCACACTGGGACTGGGGGAGAGCATCATCTCTATCTGCAGACATCCTTTCCTCAGGAGGCTGTTTCCCTCACTTCCTCCCCCACCCCCACCAATGCGTTCATTGCTCAAAGGAGAGTCTGTCTCCACTTCACTGGATAGACAACAACTGGCCCGGAGAGATTCAAGGCCTGAGGAGGGAGGTCTTTCTTTGCTAAGTAACGGGAGTGCTTGGTGTACAAGCAACCATCCTTGATCATTGGTATTTTTGCCCAGGAAATGCAACAGGCGTACTATTTTACGGTATATCCTGGGAAACGTATTGAGACGTCTCATCGACGTGATGAGGCCCTACAAACGCGAGGATTATTATTAATAATATATTAAGGGATATTAATCGTATTGGAAACGGGGGATCTGCCCTCTGCGCGGTAGAAGTTGTTCTTGAATGTTTGGCGATGGATTCTTCGCCTTTCCAGAGGTTGGGGAGAACCTGCCGTCTGTTCAATCCAGAGAGCGAGGGGGCATGGTGACATTTTGAAAGCTGCCCAATGCATTGACTGCTAAGAGCACATGAAAAGGCCGTTAACTGGCTAAGTGGTTTGGGAATGCTATTTATCTTCAGCCGCTCCACTGAGCTCTCGGCACAGAATGATCACTGAACCGTTTTGAAATAGACTTTTTTTTGTTCCTAAAATGCTCTTGTTTTTCTCGTTAGGACATCTGCAGTGTCATGTGACTCTTTCCCTCATCCTCCGTTCTTTCCCCCCCCCCCACCACCACCATCCCAAGTCATTTATTCACTCTCCCATTCATTCAGAATACACCAGCTTTCTCCACAAAAGGGGATTTTTTTTCCCAGTTTGTTACTGATAAAACGGTTTTACCATGACCCTAAGGCAGTGGTAAAATACCTCAAAGTGCTTCACACAGGCAGTTGCTGTGAAGTGTAGTAACTTGACTGTGTGTTTGCCATTCATGAACACGCGTTGGGACATCCTCCCGAGGTGAAAGGCGCTATACAAATGTAATCTTGTTGTTATCGTTATCACTTCAAAGTGCAGTGCAAAGCCCAGCTCAACAGTTCCTTAATTTTAATCAAAGTCGAGCGAGCTGCTTTCATTTAGCAATTCCTTGTGTTTCTTATAGAATCGCAGAGTATATCGATGTGACACTTCACCAGTGCTGATGCCTTAGGCTGGGAATCGCTGTGTAAGATAGAGATTCATAAAATCGGTTGAGATTAAGCAAGCCTTTCATTCCAGAATACTCACCCCACCGCCCTCCCATCATAGCATCGAACCATTTAACAAATGGTCCAGTGTCCTGGCCTCAACCACCCTTCCTTATAACATGTTCCAGTCATTAGTTACCCTCTGGGTAACTAATCACTGGTCTGTGCTTGAAATTATCCCCTTTGCAACCCTTTAGCCCGCGTCCTCTTGTTCTGCCACCTCTGGCAAATTGAGGGGATGAAAGTAGACAGTCGATCATAGTTAGGGGCTCCGTAACCGCTGTAATTTTCTCTTTCTCCGATTATTATTTTTGCTGGTGCATGGATTTACAAATCGGTGACACAGTAATATGTCTACGTGGCTCCTTTGGTAGGGTTCTGGCCTCTGGGTGGTTTCAAGCCCCAACGTTATTAATAAAAAAAAATGTTTTTCTTTCTTTTAAATTTCTTTTTTGCTGAAGCTGTCGCTAGGAAATGTCATCAGTGCCTTGGGAGACCAGAGCAAGAAGAACCACCATGTGCCATACAGAGACTCCAAGCTAACCAGGCTTCTTCAAGACTCGCTTGGCGGAAACAGGTACAAGAGAGCGAGAGTGTGTGTAGCTCAGTGGTTAGAGCACTTCACCTCACAAACAACAAACCTGGATTCGATTCCCAGCAGGGCGAAATGTTGAGTCCTTACTCCACACGCCTCTCTTTACCTAGCAGTAAGTAGGGACCCGGCTGTTAGTCAATTGGCGGATCACTTTTCCGGGGGTAATAATTCCTTCAAAAAAAATAATAATAATGATAAATTGGTCACTTCAATCCACGACTGTTTGTGGGGACGCTGCTGTGCGCAATTGGCTGCCGCGTTCGCCCACAAATATACAGTCAATTCACTTTACAGTGTGTTCTGTGAAGCGCTTTGGGACGTCCTCCCGACGTGAAAAGCGCTATATCAAATGCAAGGATTATTATTATTATTATATCAAATACAAGAATTACTATTATTATAATATACACATGCTATGTGCAGCAAACAGGAGATGACCCAGCTGTGGGCTTTCCTTTTAAAGTCCGGCGTTTTGAAGCGAGCTGCTTGGCTTTCTGGACCCCCTTTTATCGGTAATTCCATGAACCCGCCTTCTAATGAAGCCTATTGCAACAGGGCTCTCCTGTACTTTCTCACAAGAGCAGATTTCTTTACGAACGTCGGTGCACAGCCTCGAGTCCCAGTTGCAGCGCTTTCCCCAGCGAGCGACACGAGGGCGCTGATGTTTGCTCTTGTTCCTTTGCAAGTCGGACCATCATGATCGCTTGCATCAGCCCGTCTGACCGTGACTTCATGGAGACACTCAACACCCTCAAGTATGCAAACCGAGCCCGAAACATCAAGAACAAAGTGGTGGTGAATCAGGACAAGACCAGCCAGCAGATCAATGCCCTGCGAGCAGAGATTGCCCGACTTCAGATGGATCTGATGGAGTACAAGACGGTAAGAAACAAAAAACGACTGCACAGTCGAGGCTGAATTCAACCATTTGCCAAATTCTGGACACGCTGCAACTGCAAGAAAAATAGAATAAATCCAGAGTCTAAGTGGAATTGTTTATCTCGCTATCCCCCATATAGTGGAGTCCTTGCAAGCGAGACACCTGGGTTCAATTCCAGGCAGAGGGCGAAACCTTGGGCAAGTTTCCTTACTCCACACAGAGCCTAATAATAATCCCTCCAAAACCAAAAACAATAATAAATTGGTCATTTTCAATCCAGGACTGTTTGTGGGACACTGGTTGTGTGCAATTAGCTGCCACATTTCGCCCACAAATATACAGTCAATTCACTTTACAGTGTGTTCTGTGAAGCGCTTTGGGACGTCCTCCCGACGTGAAAAGCGCTATATCAAATGCAAGGTTTATTATTATTATCATTATTACCAATTTAGAACCTTTTCTAAACTATGTTGTGCGCAAAAAAAAGCTAAAGTCCTTCATAAGAAATGCTAGGTGAAAAAACATGTCCACCTGGTTCTCCTTCCACCTTCCTGGCGGTCGCATGCACATATGTCCCGAGCTACTTATGTATTATATCTCAGAATGTTATTTCCTTCAGAGCCGAAAGTGTTACTCAAGGCGCTGTAGCTGACGAGCTAAGTGGTGGGTCTATCTTTTTTTCTAAAGGGAAAGCGAGTTGTCGGTGAGGATGGTTCCGAGGGATTGAATGATCTGTGCCACGAAAACGCGATGCTGCAGAAGGAAAATGACAATTTGCGAATGAGAGTGAAAGCCATGCAGGAGACCATCGATGCCTTGAACATCAGAGTAACTGATCTGCTGAGCAACGAGGCCAATCAGATCATAGCCTGTGCGGGTAGGATCAACCTTCCACACTGTCGCGTGGGTTAATATTGCATTAGTATTTCTCTCAAGGTAATAGTTCCATGTTAATTGTTAATTATAAAATGGATGTTTCGCCCACAAAATATGCAGTCAGTTTACTTAACAGTATATTCGGTGAAGCGCTTTGAGATGTCTCGAAGACGTGATAAGGCGCTATGTCAAGTGTGAGGATTATTATTATATTATTATGTGACTTGGCTGTTTACACTTCTTGGGCTTTGTGTACGTGTGTATGTGTGTGTGTTGACCAGATAATAATAATAATAGTAATAATAATCCTTGCATTTGATATAGCGCCTTATCGTGCCTTCGAGACGACTCAAAGCGCTTCACAGAATATACTGTAAAGTGAATTGACTGTATATCTTGCAGGCGAAACAACACTATGCGCTAGGTGTCTTCAATATAATGTAGTCCAGGAAACTGCAGGTGATCAGGCAGCTAAAATGCTGATTTAATGAGCCGACATAACTGCAGATGGTTTGAGATTAACAGCCAAAAACCCCCCGAGCTGTCTGAAAGGCTTGAACGGTACAATTCAAACCAAATGTTTTCAGCAGATATGTTTTATCGCAGTCATTTCCTGACAGAATCCAGATGTTAGAAACTGGACCAGTAAAAGTAGGTAATTGCTGTTTGTACTGTAGATTGCTAGTGAATAAATCGTACATTATATGATTTATTTAGTTATTCTGCAATTGCTTCCATAACTCGGAATGCGATTGACTGTTCCCTATGTTTCTTTTTAATCCGGATTATCATTCTATTTAATTACTTTTTTCTGGTGGATTTGACAATTTCCAGCCACGCATTCCCAAATTTGATTCTAACTAGCATTTGCCACGTGTAGGTGGGTGGCAAACATTCATACATGAAAGTCTCAGACTGTGTTTCTTGTGTGAGCGTGCGTGTGTGTGTGTGTGTGTGTGTGTGTGTGTGTCAGATAGCCTGGCTGATTTATAAATTAAAAAAAACTATCAAATAATTTACTTTGTGTTTGACACCGCAGGAGACGGCAATGAAGAAATAAGTGAATTAATTCAAAATTACATCCGAGAAATTCAAGAGCTCAGGTTGGTCCGTTGGCTTTCGATCGAGAATCGTGTGTGTGTGAGTGTTGATGTCATGTCAGTGATTTAGCGTCTTATCTTTTCTATGCATTTGGCTTGATCCATAGCTGGTTGTCGCACACGTAGTCTGTGGGTTGGTTCATCTCTGCTATGAACAAATAAAACAGGAAAGTTGCTTCTCCACCCCCCCCACCCCCTCCCTTTAAGGAGGTTTGAATATTGGCCATATAAAAAAATATTTGTGCGCATTGGGAGTATTTGGAGTCTTGGTAGCGTTCTCGCCTTTGAGTCGGAAGGTTGAGGGTTCAAGCCCCACGTCAGGACTTTGAACTTAGTCTCACAGCTATATAGGTCCAATTTGCATCGCAAAATGACTCATGATGTACATCAAATTGTGACAATTTCATCGAACCCCATAGACTTTCATAAACAGAGGGGTTTTCCATTTGGTACAAATGTGCAAAGCTACCTTTCCTTTCTGTCCTGTACCTCCAGATCAGTGGTGGCCGACCTTTATGGTCTGCCAACAAAATACATTTTCTTGGCTGAATATTTCTTGATTTTTGTTATGCCATAAATCAAGGAAATATTCAATCAAGAAAAATCTGAACCCGCACTACCGATTGAACACAGACTTACCTGGACTAGCTCGAATGTTGGTGGGGGGTGGGAGGTGGAGAGAGGGGTGCTTCTTGATGGCTCAGTGGGCCACTTCCGGCCCGCGGGCCACATGTTTGCCACCACTGATCTCCACCAACAGATTAACATCCAAACATGTTATCTATTGATGGAGATGTTATTGAGCAGCTCGTGCATCTGCAAAGCATCGGTGGCATTTAGGAGTATTTATTTTATTATTGCTTTTGGGGAACTGGATGCTGCTCTGTTGCAGGACTAAACTGTTGGAAAGTGAATCGATGAACGAGTCCCTTCGGCGTAGCCTCTCCCGGCTGTCAGCGAAGTCGCCGTTTTCCGCCGGCATGTCTCCTCTGATCGGTTCCTCGACGCTGAGTCCACTTGTTTCGCTGGAGCCTGACACCAGTGAGGTGGTCAAAATGGCCAAAAAAGACTTGGAGCTGCTGAAGAAGAAGGAGCGAAGAGAGAAGAGGAATAGGTAACTGTATTCCATAAGTGTATTACGTACAAATAATGGACGCTTCTGAGTGTGTTACAATATTAGGACATAAAAGTTCCACCAGTTTATAATCCTAATACTGGGTCCTATCACCATACTCCCTAAATCCCTCGTCTGTTCAGTTTTAAGCATTGCCCTACAATATTCCACATTTTCACAAGCCTCTGGGTGAAGATATGCTTTCTGACCTCAGTTCAATCAAAAAGCTGTGGGTTCAAGTCCCGTATTGAGACATTGAGCTCACGGTCTAGGCTAACCCTCCAGTGCGGTGCTGGGCGTGAGCTAAATTGTCCTTCTGACTTGGTAACTGCCGATACAACCTCATCTGTCCTGCTTTCCAATTCTCTTCTTTCTGTGTTTTTGTTTTTTGCGCTTTCAAGTCCGGAGAAAGAGAGAATGAAAAGGGGCACAAAACTACAGCAAGAGAACGGGGAAGAGACCGACGACAATGAGGCTGAAGGGGTAAGAAAAGATGAGACTCGTTCCTAGATGCTTGGCATTACCTTTGCATCAATGCCCACTTCATGAAACCTTCCTAGCTGTTTGAAATGAACTTTACACACGCACTGGAAGATTTAGGAGGTTTTCTTGCCATTGAACGTCAGTGCAAGGGTTTTTAGAAAGTTGGTTTTGTGAACCAATCTGGCGACAATCATCCACCTGCGTTGCATTTGTTTGCAATTCCAGGAGGAAGAGCATGAAGAGAGTGGTTGCGAGGAGGAGGAGGAGGAAGGCGGAGATGATGAAGAGTTTGACAGTGACGGAAGCCTGGATGATACCGATACAGAATCCGAGGAAAAAGGTATTGATCCGGGTTCTGTAGTGCACACCTGCTGCTCAGTCTCGTGCCTGAAGTACGTACAGGAGTTTGGGAAAATTGCTTTTGTGAAGCAGGAGAGGAAATGTGGGGCCAATCATGGGATGCCAGTATTTCCTATCCTAATAAACACTAATAATAATCCTTGCGTTTGATATCGCGCCTTATCACGTCGCTGAGACGTCTCAAAACGCTTCACAGAATATACTGCAAAGTGAATTTCCTGTGTGTCTAGTGGGCGAAACGCGGCAGGCAGTAGCATACAGCAGTGCAGTTTGACCAGATATTGGAACCGTTAAGACACCCTTTCACGTTCCTAAAGCCAGAGCAACTTCTGGAATGATTGGGATAGAAGCTTGACGGTCTGCGCTTGGAAGTTTGTGCCTCGCGGCTCACGGTTTGCTCTTGTGTTTTGTTTCCTGCTCAGTCAATTACCAAGCCGACCTCGCTGACTTGACCTGCGAGATTGAAATCAAACAGAAGCTCATCGATGAACTGGAGAACAGTCAACGCCGACTGCACATCCTGAAGCAGCAGTACGAGCAGAAGCTCATCATGTTACAGAGCAAGATCAGGGACACTCAACTAGAGAGGGACCGGGTTCTCCAAAACCTTGGTACAGACTCCCCTTCTGCTACTCCTCTCCGCTGGTTACTATTACAACCTGGGCATCTGTTACAACTCCTTTCACATCAGGAGAACTTCTCCAAGCGATTCTTGGGTTATATTTTAATAATAACAATAATAATCGTTGCGTTTGATATAGCACCTATCGGTCTTCAAGACGTCTCAAAAGCGCTTCCCAGGATACACTGTAAAGTGTTGTGACTGTGTATTTTGTGGGCGAAACGCGGCAGCCAATTTGTGCACACCAATGCCCCACAGAGGCGAACCTCCCTTGCTTTTGTTTTTTTGAATAGCGCCACGGGATCTTTAACCCCCAGCAGGTGCTTGTTTTAACACGTCAAACAGTGATAAAGTATTGTCAGCGTTAAACTGTGAGCTCAAAGTTCCCAATAAGGGGCTTGAACCCACACTAAACAAATTGAACTCATAAAAACTGTTTGCTGATTTTTTTTCTATATGAAGAAATCTGACATAACCTCAGGACTCCAAATCTTCTCCCGCCCCCCCCACCCGCACCCCCCCACCAACCTTGAATAACTCCAGCAATTGAGGCAATAAATGCCAAGGTTGGTTCAAGTGTAAGCCATTACGTTTGTGCACACATCGATAGGAAACTGGTACATTCAGGTCAAATAACGGCAACTTTGGTTCTTTGCCCAGGTACCATGGAGTGCTACACAGAGGAGAAAGCCAACAAGATTAAGGCCGATTATGAGAAGAGACTGAAGGAAATGAACCGCGAGCTGCAGAAACTCCAGGTAGCCCAGAAAGAGCACGGCCGACTGCTGAGGAACCAAACCCGATACGAGGTTGAGCTGAGAAAGCTGCAGGGAGAGGTGGCCGAGATGAGGAAAACCAAGGTAATGGGTACTGGGTAATATCAACGCAAAGTGATAGCAAACGGGATATAATAATAAATATCTTTGCATATGATACAGCGCCTTATCACATCGTCAAGATTCCTCAAAGCAATTCACAGGACGTACTGTTAATAATCATAATAAAACTTGCCTTTGATATAGTGCCTCATCACGTCGTTGAGACATTTCCAAGCGCTTCACAGGTTATATTGTAAAGTGGATCGACTGTGTATCTCGTGGGCGGTACATGGCAAAGTGGCATGACTGTGTTTTGTGTGTGAACGCAGTAGCCCAATTTGCTCACGGCAATGTTCCACAAGCAGCCACGTGGGTGTGAATGATTTTTATCTGGGGGATTGCTGGCCCGGGCACTGGGTAAACAAGGAGTTGGAACCCCGGTCGCCCAGTGATGCTGAGACTAGATAACTCCAGGCAGATAAAGGGCACAAACTCTTTTTGATACCAGGCAGTGAACCAACAACAACAACAAAAAATACATTTGTAAAGCGCCTTTCACATCGGGAGCAAGTCCCAAGGCGCTGGACATCTACAGAACCGTGGTTTTGCAATTGTTTTGTGTAACTATTTCGTAGATTTTCCATTCGAGTACAATAATTGGTATTTAAACGTGTTTTGTGGGTGTGGTTTTTTTTTTGTACCTTCGCTCTGTCAGGTGGCGCTCATGAAGCAGATGAGGGACGAGCAGCAGCGGATGAGGTTGATCGAATGCAAGAGGAACCGTGAGATCGCGCAGCTGAAGAAGGAGCAGAGACGACAAGAGGTGGGAGCAGTGAACCCCTGTTACAACCACCTGGTTGTCGAAGGGTGGGGAGGGTGTCCATAAGCACCCAACCAGGAGCTGATCTCTACATCATTGACGTGACCAATGTGTGCGATGTTGCTGTGCTTTGCAAGCGACCGAATTCTGGGTCATGGGGATCAACACTGGCATCAATCACATCCTGCGCGTGCTCAGGGTAGGAAATGAGGTCGATAGCTGTCACCTAATGACCTGGAAGCCGGCCATTGTTAGACCACGGCAAGATGTCCGCAGGTCCACCCCACACTCACCTTATAAACAAACCCGTGAATTTCCAAGTCTCCGATTGGGATGGGATAACTAACGGGAGGCTGCTTGAGAACCTCCAGCACAGTCCAGGCCGACACTCTGTTGTTTCCTTGCTCGGTTTAAGGTTTCTATAGCCGATGTCCGGCTGCTCTTGTTGTGAGGGTGCTTATTCACTGTTTCCACCTTTGCTCGTTTGTTTCAGTTCCAAATCCGGGCTTTGGAGTCTCAAAAGCGGCAGCAAGAAATTGTCCTGCGGAGGAAAACACAAGAGGTGAGAGTTCAATACACTACAGATTTACATTTATGTAGCGCCTGGGGTGAGTGGTCCTAGCTGGACAAGCAGTGATCTCAGTCGTGCTCTCAATGGCGAGCTATATGATGTTTAGCTGGTTGAACTTCAGCAGTGACCCAATGCACACACACACACACACACACTGGAATCCAAAACCTGTGCCTAATACTCTCTGGAATTGGATAAGTCGAATGCATCCCCTCAGGAGAGAGAGTTCGCGCTCCATTCCAAACACAGAGAATTCCCGTGCGTAAGCGCGATGCGTGCGTTAACTGTGGAACTCTTGTCTGATGTGGATACTCTTAAGCCTTGGATACTCTTAAGCGTTGAAGCGAAAAAAAATAATAATAATAATAAATAATCGATTGGTCACTTCAATCGCCGACTGTTTGTGGGACTCTGCTGCAAGCAATCGGCTGCCGCGTTTCGCCCACAAAATATTCAAGTCAATTCACTTTACAGGCATGTTCGCTGTATCAAATGTAAGGAGTATTATTATTATCTTTTCTTTATTAAACTGTTCTCAGGTCAGCGCTCTTCGGAGGCTAGCCAAGCCAATGTCCGACCGGGTTGCCGGTCGGATCACCCGGAAGCAGACGTTCCTGGACTCGGGAGCCGAGCTTTCGGCCAGCACCACGTCTTCAGATCCGGAGTCAGCCTCCAGGTCCGTGTCCAACATCGTCAAGCAGTGGAACCGGAAGTTCAATGCAGCCTGGAACGAGACTGTCTCGGTGGTGAACGGAACGAGGGCGGCCAGGTAAGCAATCCGGAGAGTGTCGCATCAACTCTCAAGAGGTTCATGTCAATCTGTTATTTCTGTGCGATGCGTATCTGTTATATACCTGTGTTAAACTGATCACACCACAGCAGCACGGGCAAAACTGCCCCATGTGTCCGATAACTAGTGTGTGTGTGTGTGTGCATTCGCCCTCTCTCTTTCTCACTCTCTCACACTCTCTCTCTCTCACACTCTCTCTCTCTCACACTCTCTCTCATTCTTTCTCACACACACAAATGGAGAAGGGAGTTTGTGAAGCACTTGACTACATGCTAAAGGTTGCAGTGTCGAACCCAGGGATTATTATTATTTTATATTGCTGCTGAACCTGACCAAAGATATCTCCCTCTCTTTCTCTCTCTCTCTCTGTCTCCATCTCTGTCTCTGTCTCTCTCTCTCTCTCTCTCTCTAATGCAGGAAAATCAAGACCCAGCGCAAAGGAGCTGGCGAGAATTTCTCCCGTGCGGCCCGGCTGAAATGGCAGGCGCTAGAGAGTAGAGTGACCGACATCGTGATGCAGAGGATGACTATCTCCAACCTGGAAGCGGACATGAATCGGCTGCTCGGGGTATTCGAGCTGCTGTGTCTCTATTTAGCATTTTAAACGACAACAAAATGACATTTATAGTGAGCCTTTCACGTCGGGAGGACGTCGCAAAGCGCTGAACAGTCAGTTGTCGGGGCCCGAGCATTGGGGAGGGGTGGTGTATGGGTGAGGGAAGGCAGAGAGGTGGGAGGGAGACCAAAGGCGCGGTCGAAGAAAAGGGTCTTGAGACCGGCCTTGAAGGAGGCAACGGAGGAAGCGAGGTGGGACCGTGGGATGGAGTTCCAGAGTGTGGGGGCAGAGAGGCTGAAAGCCTGGCCACTGATGGTAGGGCGGGTCGGGAGGGAGACATGGAGCAGGCTGGAGCCTGATGAACGGAGGGAGTAGGCAGGTTGGTAGGTTCACTCCCACTTCCCTGCGCTTTTTGCGCTTGAACTCAAATAACTTCTACAACTGCGCTCTCCCTCTCTCTCTCTCTGTCTTTCTCTCTCTCGCCTCAAGGCCCGAGCACTTGCGTGCACTAACAACAATAACAAGATTACATTTGTATAGGAGCCTTTCACGTCAGGAAGACGTCCCAGTATTGCCACTGTAAATTAAAGGGGCCAGGAAATTAGAGGAAAGAGCTAAATTAATAGCCAGCTAAAGAGAAAGGGGGAGGGGATGAGACCAATGGAGAGAGAGCGAGGCAGTTTCTGAGGTTGAAAGATTGGAGAGAGAGAGAGAGAGAGAGCAGCAAGCCCAAGTTACAAGAGCCAGATAGGAGAAGGTCATCAAACTGGTAACTGCCCCACAGCCGCTGGCCTCGGGCGGTTGATCGATGTCCACCCTGTGTCTACAGAAACGAGAGGAGCTGATCGGGCTGCACGAGACTCTGGTTGGGAAGAAACAGCGGATTTTGAAGGAGAATCCAGATGACAACAAGATGGTGCAGGAGATAAACGAGGAGCTGGAAGCCTTGAACGCCAACATCGACTACATCAACGACAGCATTTCAGAGTGCCAGGCCACCATTATGGAGATCGAGGAGGCCAAGGTAAACCGGAGACGCGTCGCAAACTTCTCTCTCTGTCGTCTGTCGTTCTTCTGACTGCAAGCGTGAAATTGATTATAGCCTTTTGTGACTATAGCAGAACAGGGCGAGTGGAAAATCCCGAAAAGTGTCGCAATGATACGATCTGCAGTGAAATTACACAAGATCGGTTCAGATGAACAAGACCTTTCAGCCCCATTTGATCTCATCCTTCCAGAACACTCTCCCCACCCGTTTTGTTAAATGACTCCCGTATCCTGGCCTCAGCCACCCTGCCTGGTAACCTGTTCCGATCGTTAGTTACCCTATCGGGTAAAGAAATACTTGCTGACCTGATCAGTAAGTGTGAGGGGCGATCGGCCAGGGGGCAGGGATTTTGTGTGGGGAACTTTACTGCCGGAAAGCGTTGAGAGGCAAAGGAGTCTGAAGAGCCGCGTGTGACCCAGTCACTGGGGGCAGCTTGCTGTAAACGCCATCCTTTCTTGCTTGTGTGTTGTAGGATGAGATTAACTCGACGGACACTTCTGTGGTCATCAGTTCCTGCTCCTTGGCTGAAGCCCGCCACCTACTGGACCATTTCCTCAAGATGTCGATCGACAAGGTGAGAGAAGCCCAATCCCAGCCGTGTAACCCTGTTAACAGCGTTCGCTTCACCCACTTGAGTGTCTCTTGAGTTTGACCCGGGCTGCGCAACCACCATTTTATCTGCAGGGTCTGCAGGTGGCTCATAAAGAGGCACAGATTAAGCTGCTGGAAGGTCGACTGAAGCAGTCGGACATGATCGATGTGGCTCCCGTTCAGCTGCTGAACCTGCTGAAGGAAAAGGCCGAGTCCATCCCCGAACTCCAGACGCTGCTTCAGAGCGTCTCGCAAGGTAACCCGCCGATCAGTCTCCTTCCTTTCCTTTCCTTTCCTTTCCTTTCGCGAAGCATTAGTTGGAGACGGGGTCGCTCAACAGATTAGTACAGTTTAATAATAATAATAATCATGACAATCGTTGCATTTGATCTACAACAACAACAAGATTTCATTTATGGAGCGCCTTTTACGTCGGGAGGACGTCCCAAGGCGCTGGACAGTTGGGTCGGGACCCAGGAAATGGTCAGGGTGAGGGGAGGGAAGGGAGGGAGCGAAGAGTGGGTTGGAGGGGGCGTCTAGAACCCTTATCACGTCTCCTCCAGGCGACTCAAAGCGCTTCACAGAATATACCGTAAAGTGAATTGACGATACACTTCGCATTCATATAAGCGCCTTTCACGTCAGGAGAACGCCTCAAGGCGCTGGACAGTCAGAGAGCCGCTCTGGTGTTTGGGATCGGGAGGGTGGAGAGGGTGACCGAAGGCACAGTCGAAGAGGAAGGTCTTGAAATGGTCAGGTTTAGCCCCCTGGGGGTGGGGGGATCTGTCTCCCAGGAAACTCAATGAGAACTCATTGGAGAACTCCACTCTCTTTGCCAATAGGGTCACGGGATCTTTTAAATGTCAGCCTCGGGACAAGCAGATATGTCCTCTTGTTTGAAGGTAGACACGTGTGAAAATTGCAAGGGAGTTAATTCACTGAACCCCGAACTTCTTATGGAACATGAGCTTCGAGAGAAGTTGCTGGGAACGAAGAGCGTTTGAGACCTATGGAAGTGTATAAAGTTATACGACTTTGGCTTTCAAGCAGGGAAAAGGAAACTTCTGTTCCTCTCCTAACACTTCAATGTTCAATGTGCCTTTCAGAAAATGGCGAACTGAGCAGTGACGAGGACATATCTGAGTACAGTTCAGGGCTAGAGAACAGGTGAGTTACTGAACCCGCTTGTAACGAGTCTCTGTTACACACACAAACTAATTAATAAATGAACTAGTTTGGCTCTCGTCTTCCTATCCTGATGTTTGCCCTGTAACCGATCAGTGGGTCTGTTCAACAGTGTGAATATTCCAGCATATTCCCAGTAGAAATGACTCGAGGTTAAAAACTTGCAGGACTACTTGAACACTTTTTTTATGTAATAAATCTTCTCGACTCCAAATGTGCTGGGAGTGACTGGTGTTCCTTCACCTGATGGATTATTGCAGGAGTAATACTAGCCAACGCTCCCCATCTGAAAGTAACGTGTTTTTCCACAGTGTCAACGCCATGGTAGAGACACTTGCCTGACACCGTTGCCTTTGCACACCTGATTGTCACGTTACTGTTTGTATTTCAGCTTAACATCAAGTTCCTACTCAAAGCACTCACTGAGCCAGGGCGATTTCCGATTAAAGGTACAGCTCTTGTTTCTCAATGGGATGTACTACTGTGTGTGTGTGTATATAATATATATATTATGTATATAGTGGGATATAGTATTATACACACCGTGCGTGTATATACACGGTCACTAAAACGTTGTGATATCTACCCTGTTATCTGAAAAAATATAATTTCTTTAATACTTATTAGACATTGCAATGGTATCACAACTTTTTGGTCACCGTGTGCGTGTGTGTGCGTGTGTCTGTATGTAGTGGGGAGAGAGAGAGAGAGAGAGAGAGAGAAAAGGGGGCCTTGTATTGTCAACCAAATGTGGAACCTTCAGTCATTTGGTTTGGAGATTCTTCACACACGGTGATGGGTTTACGAATGTGTCGGACACGTCCGACTGGTTTTAATCCACTCGTTTTAGTTGTTTAAAATCAACCCCGCGAATTAACCCCCGCGATTGTCATTCGCAGTCTGAGCAGAGGGCAGAGCAGGCGCAGGTAGACTGGTATGGCTCTGCCTTGGAGCTCTCCACTCTGAGCCCAGGGAAATCGCAAGAGGTGCGAGAGAATGGGGTCAAGACGACGGAAGTGGTGATGAGAACGCCAAAGGACAAGGATTCGAACAGTTTCCAGCCCAGATCTGGAAACACTTTGTGAGTTGTTTGTGCGTGTCTGTGTGTACGTATGAGTGTTTGCTGGACATTGCTGCACGCTAACCTGTTTGCCTTCAAAAAAAACAGTTGTGGCCCGTGATCAGAATCACTGTTATCCCCTCCACCACCAAATAATAAATTGGTCACTCAATCTACGACTGTTTGTCGGGACACTGCTGCGTGCAATCGGCTGCCGTCTTTCGCCCACAAAATGTCCAGTCAATTCACTTTACAGTATATTCTGTGAAGCGCTTTGCGACGTCTTGAAGATGCGATAAGGCGCTATATTATATGCAAGGATTAAAAGGAATGTAAATTTTATTGAGACGATTTGATGTTTCAGGCGCTATGAAAACTCAAGTTATTTTTTTTCTGACTGAAGAACGCAGTTGCTCTCTAGCTCAAGGAATCTTTTACTTTTGTCCACAGTCCCAGGCAGTCAACCAAGAAATTCCAGGATACATCACCCCTCATGAGGAGGAAGTCATATGACAAAGTTCAGATGTCCTCTGATAAATCCCGGTGAGTATCGTAATGTACAATCAATACACAGTCAATCCACTTTACAACATATTCTGTGAAGGGCTTTGAGATGTCTCAACAATGTGACAAAGTACTATATCAAATGCAAGAATTATTATCAATATTAATAATAATGTACAGTGGATGCAAGTATGATAAATCTTTGAGGAGAAAATGCTCCTGGGTCTGGTTTAACTTTATTTATGTAGCATTTCAGAGCTTCCAGAATTTAGAAACTCCTTAAATGCGGCTTTCAATTGCGAAGCTGGTTTTCTTTCAATAAACAACAGAAAAGGCAGCTCCAGGTGTCAGCCATTTATTTCATAGGCAAGAGCTAGTGTGCTTTCACATTTTGATCACGTTTTTAGACAATGCTGTAAAACCCCTGAATGAAATACTTCCCAGCGATATGTGGTTATCCATCTGTACAATACAAAACAAAATTACATTTGAGAAGCGCATTTGATGTCCGGACGACGTCCCAAGGTCCTGGACAGTCAGGGATTTCGACCCGAGCTGTGGTGGGGGGTGGGGGGGTGGGGGGTCGGGATCAAGGAGAGTGGGTGGAAGGCAGGGAGGGAAGGCAGGGAGGACTCCGCATCGGAGTCCTGTGGAAGGCAGGGAGGGAAGGCAGGGAGGACTCCGCATCGGAGTCCTGTAGCTCAGTGGTTAGAGCACTCGCTTTGCAAGTGAGAGACCTGAGTTCAATTCCAGGCAGAGGGCGAAACCTTGGGCAAGTTTCCTTACACTAATAATAATCCCTCCAAAAAAACAAAACAATAATAAATTGGTCATTTTCAATCCACGACTGTTTGTGGGACATTGCTGTGCGCAATTGGCTGCCACGTTCGCCCACAAATATACAGTCAATTCACTTTACAGTATATTCTGTGAAGCGCTTTGAGACGTCTAGAAGACGTGAAAAGCGCTATGTCAAATGCAAGGATTATTATTAGGGGTAAGAGGGTGACTGAAGAGGAGGGTCTTGAGACGCGCCTCGAAGAAGGCGAGGGAGTGAGACAAAGAGAGTGCGGGTCCAAAGTTCCAAAGGGTTGGGGGCAGAGAGGCTCGGCCTGGCTGTAGATTTGAGACATTAAAACCTCCAACCGTACCCGTGAAATCTCAATATAATTTTCAGATGTTCTCTTCTCGGCCACAGGGTGGTGGGCTTTCCCCTCGCTGAGTCCAGAATCTGAGCAGCACACACAGCGACTGAAAACCGGTCGAGCAAACTGGTGACTCGAAGCAATCTTTTTGAGCCAAGTCTGCCAATATTTCCTAAGATCAATAGTAAACTGATGCTCTGCCCACTGCCCACTCCTCGACGACTCCAAATACCTCCTAAACATGGCAACATGGTGTGAATACCTTCCATGAAGTGTCCTCCGTTTAAATTTACGTGAAGTGCAGCTCATCTGGCTCCACGCTGTTTAGCACGGTGCTGCAACTTTGCTAGCTTTTCACCAGCAAAACACGCAGTCACTACACTTTATAGTAACTCCGACGATGTATAGATAATAGCGAACGTGTGCGTTCAACTTGCTCATCCTCCTGAAGTGGAGGAATCGACGGGGGTTTTGATTTTGACGAGAAATCATTGATTCAACGCATGACTATTCCTTGCAGGTCCGAATGGAGGTCGAGCGAAATCAACCTGACGCCCCCATCCTCTCCTCCGACCCGGTCTCGTAATGACAGGAACGTCTTCTCCCGGCTCACCAGCACCCAACTGCAGACCTTCCCCGCCCACGACAAGTAAGGACCACCCTCTGGCAGTGTTGCGCTCTGGGCAGCCATTGCCTGGCGTGAGCTAGAGCGATCGGGAGCTCGCGAGCTGCAGTTACAGCGCCAACGGGCTCTCAGAAACTCTCTCTGAGAAATATACCGCGTTAGGGTCCAATATTGTAAGAGCAACACGGGGGAAAACAAAGTTAGGGTTAAAGAACGTTTACTATTTAAACCTAAATAGCTCAGATTTTTTTTTAAGCAGTGTTGCATTTTCACTTGTGCTCAATTGACCAGTTATTGCAAGGAGTTGTTTGTTTAACCCCCAGGGCAAGCATTAGCCATGTGGCAATATTCCCTCCCGATTAAACTCTAGGATGATTTAAAAAAAAACACATTACCCTTCAGAGCAACGCACACGTCTTGTAATACGTGAGCTAGAAGTTGTTGGTCTCGTTACTTGTGTTAAATTAACTGCGTCGAGGCGGTAAATTTCCTGAAAGTTCTTACGCACAAGGGATTGGATTGGAAATCGTCTGACCCAACCAGAAAGCTTTCGGGGTATAACAGAAAGGGATTGGAATTTTCGTCGCTCGTTCACAAAGAGGGTCTTGCCAGTTCGCACTGGAAGGAATGGTAACAAATCCTCTCTTTCAGTCTTCAATTTAATCAATGGTGATGATCAGGGGTGAGAGGGAGTCTAAAAGTCACTTTACAGCACAACAGACATCTGCAGTTAACGTCACTTATTTACTTACTTGCTCGTATGCTGTCGATCAGTCTTATCCGGATCGCTCCTTCTCTTGTTTCCGTCAAATTAACTTTATCCTAAATGTTCCAGTGTTCTTCAGAAGAGAGAGACTGGCATACAAACCTGGTTATCCAATAAGTTTGCAACATCGTCTTTTTGGCTGTGGATTTAACAGTGGTGGAGAATGGACATTTTTCCCTCTATCAGGGAACGATGTTGAATTCCGCTCCGCAAAACTTGTCTTTTCTTTTTTTCTTTTATATAAAACAAAATGGAATTTCTTGGAACAGTTGAAGAAACTAACTGATCATTTGGTCTGTGCAATGCTCACGGTATATCAAACAGAATAATTGATTGATCCGGCATTATTTTCTCAAGTGTCCATTGCTTTAGAAAAGAGATTTAATTAAAAAAAATCTGGTTTCAAGTCTATGGAAATTATGTATTTCCTGGTCAATTCCTAATTGAACTTTACGAGCTTTCCAACTAATGGCATGAAAGTTACAGAGTACAAAATCCCTCTATACCATGAGACTATTTTTAATGTTTAACTTAGAATCTGTGCTTTATAACCTTTATAACCTGGTTCATGCTGTTTTGCCCAATGGATTCCTTCTTTCCTTCACACGCTCAACTCAAAATTCAACTCATGATTTAAAATTATTTTCAAAACTATCAGATCAAAGAGACCTATCTGTCAGTATTACACAGCCAAAAGTTCAGCCCCATTCCATGTATATGCTATATACATGTATGTTGTGTCTTGGTTATGAAGCCCCTTTTAGAAATCAGAATGTTTTGAAAAGAGGGCTAACTTAACTATGTTTGTCTATCTCGCAGATCTCAAGACCTTTCCCATGACCATTCCAGCCTATCTATGAAATGGACATGTTCTTACTAATGTCTATTGTCCACAAATGCTGTATGTTTGCCTGTTCCAATAACATTAGTATCTGTCGGTCTAGACTGCCAGAGTTTCATTTTCACACTGGTCTGTGTACTTGTCCTGGTTGCTATGCTATGTGTAGGTATGCCAAGTAACACCTCATTTAAAATTGGAATTTTTATTTTATATTACCTGGCAATCGTCAGTTGTCTTAGCCAAGTGTGGCATTACAGATCTCCTGAACAAGTTTCTTAGCAATGGGCTGCAGCGTTCAGTTGTAAAGTCAGCATGGAGCTTAATCAAAGAGAAATGCGGGAATCCATTTAGGAGGTGGGAAGCAACTTGTAGACAAAATAAAAGAATAATGTTTTGAAGGAGTCTTTTTTTAATTTCGAGATCAAACCGGACTTTAGAAGTTATAAATTGAGTTAAAATCATGGATTCTCATTTAATTATTCAGGTTTAGAGTGCACTCTGACTCTGTCAACCCTCCTTTTAGCTGCTGTGTCAGCAAATGTAATATAATGTTGGATTGATTCCTTAGAGTACTGCTTCTGCCTTCCTTCTTTAGTCTATTTAACAGACTTGATGGTATGCATACTGGATATTGAGTTTGAAGGAGTGGGGTGGAGTCCACAGCAGAATAGGTTTTGTGTTACCTGGAGAGGAATTAGCTTTGTGCTTGTTAATGCCTTTGTATGTCCTTATTATTATTATTATTATTGTGATTGCGTCCGTGCCTGTGTGTGAATGTAGATGTACACTCCCAACTACAGTAATATAGTTGCCTTGTTAAATTCTTGTCCACCCAATTGTCTTGTTGAGTACAGATTATGTGCTAGCGGGTCAATTGTGACCAGGGATGAGGTATCGATCTGAGGTATCATTGCAACTGTGTTCTTATATGGCAGGAGAAACACGACTTTAATCCAATCTTTTCTCCTCAAGCTAATTCTGTGATGTGTTTCCAGGAGATAGTTTCCTAAGTCAGTGCGTCTGTTAGGCAGAGTACTCATTAACTGGCTTGTACGGTACATCCTTTAGCCCGGAGCTTGCATTTCCACTCCACTGGTGGGCAAGGACTGTATGTTCTCTTCCTGAACAGTGATAATGAGATGAGACTGTACGCAATGACCTTTTTTTCCAGGATCCTCACATCCCTCGTTTCTTTTTACGTAAACAACTAAAGATGGATCTTCCCACGGCTACTAAAATGCGGTCTGGGAAAATGGTTTTTAAAATGTCCCGTAGTGTGCCTTGAGGTTTCAGTCTGTGCAGCTTTCAGAGATACAGAGACTTGCATTTCTGTTAAGACGGCAACTCGAAGGGTCGGGATTTTGAACGTTGGTTGAACACAAAAGGTTCTTCGCCAGTGCAGTAAATTTCAGCGGCTCTCGGCTGCAACACTAGGTGGAGCAGTTGACAAGTCTCTTTCAATTCAATTGGAAAAAAGCCAATTGGATTGAGCTCCGCTTCAGAGCTCCTGTCAGGATCTGGATTAACTTGTTCTGGAGACGTAATAGCCACACGCTGTTAATGATGATATTATTATGCAAAGCATTAAAAAAAAATCAACTGTGTACTCAAACCTTTACTCATATCATAACCTGCTGTCTTTTCTGGCCCTCGGTATTTCCTGGCTAAAACTGCTCTAACCTGGCATACCTACTGTTGCTCTGATTTGTTCCCATCAATCGCTCTCTACTCCGCAGTGCAACATGCTGGAGCTCTCCCCTCTTTCTTCCCCCATAATCCTGCTGCTGTTTTGTTCATAGGTCTGATGACAGTGACTCCTCTCTCTCGGAGGTTCCCAGGTACAAGTTTCTTTTGTCGCTTCTTGCTTTGTGGAAGGCCCTCACTTCTGGCCTGCACTGTGGCCCGCATGAAGCTGGTGTTTTTTTTTGCTTCGCCTCTTGCATGCTACGTGTCTTGTGTTCCATCTGTCAAACATCGCACCCCGTGCCCAGAAGCGGCACAAAATCCCACACATTGGTTGGTTGATTGTCGGCTCATTTTGATTGTCACTGACTTTTAAAGGAGGTTTTATTTACGTTGGTTTGGTTTCTGTGTATATTTTGTGTGTGTGTGCGGGGTCTCTTGGTTGGGCTGATCTATTGCATGCACTTTTCATTTGGAGGATGTAACTTGTATTTAGCGTGTGTGTCTTTTTTTTATAAACGAGAGCAGCTAAAGTCACAATAAAAAATTTCTAGCGTTATTTGTCGCGTATCGATCTGCCTGTGATGTTAACCTTTCACCGGAATGACTAACACGGACACGAGGAAAATGATTTTGCTTTACCGAGCCCGGGCTCTGTTCAGCTTCTAGCTGTTTTAGAGAGTCTCGGCTCACTCGAGGATTAGACGTAAGGGTTTTAGATTCAGAATGGAGGTTTCTCTTCTAAAAATAGCATAGGTGTATTTAAGGGAAAGCTAGATAGGTACATGAGAGAGAAAGGAATAGAAGGTTATGCTTGAAGGCTTAGTTGAGGAACAGTAGGAGGAGACTCATGTGGAACATGAACACTGGCATAGACCAGTTGGGCCGAACGGCCTGTTTCTGTGCCTTATATTCTAATATATTCTAATGTGTGGATGTGAAAGCTAATCCTGAAGATTTTCGCAGGTGTCGATATTCTGCAGCTCTGCGGAGTTGTGAGTTAGATATTGGGGCTTTACCCTGCATGTGAATGGATCTTGCATTTCAGTGTTACTGCCCCTTTACACCCCAACATGTTGACCATTTTCCCCTTTCCTGAATTTGATGGTGAATGCTATAAAATCTATTGAATAGCTTGCGAAGATTCAATGCTGAGTCAAATCTGTCCTCGTCCTGAAACCCTGGTTAAAACCCTGACCATGGTACCTTAACCACAAGCCAATGGACATCGGTCTGATGGGCCAGCACAGTATGAGACTTAAATTCTGTTTCCCCACCCAACCCACACCCGACAGATTAATTATCACGTCTTAACAGACAGCGATTTCTAACGGCATGTACATTGTGTTGAATTGCGGCATCTCCACTCTAACACCATCTACTTCCAACGTGTTAGAACAAGCGAGCTGGTGTGACATTCATCTGCTTACAGGACAGAATCCCCAACTCCCTTTCCTCATCAAGACCCTCCTCTTCGAGTGTGTCTTCGGCCATTCCTACCCTCCCTGCCCTCCACCCTCCCTGATCCCAACCCCACTCCCGTTCGGGTCGTAATCCCTGACTGCTCAGCGCCTTGGGACGGCCTCCCGACATGAAAGGCGCTTTACAAATGTAATTTTGTATTGTACTGAGGAATCCCTTTAGAAACCATCACAATTCACCGCAATTGAAATTTGCGACATTTCCAAACGGGAAATGAATGGGATAATTAACCCGGACAGTCTTGATTGCGCAAAACTGCAGTGCAAAAAGGACTTGCGTTTCTGCCCGCAAACACAGAGCGTTCAGCTAATGTTTTTTATCATGAAAAAGCAACCGGCTCTAACATCAATTGATGATCAGACAGTGTGTGTGGGTGTGTATACATAAAAAATTGCTGGAAGCAGCAGATTTATTTTGTTGTCTGGTTTCTAAACCAAAGTCACAAAGCGTCCTCCAGTTAATTTTTAAACTGGATCGAAACCCATCTGTCTTCCATGAGTTAAGGTTGTCAAGCGTATGCATTTTTACAGTCTTGTACAGTCTTTCGTCGCGCCTTGCTGAATAAGTGAAGCATGCAAAAATCTTTGAAGGTACGCCTTGGTTAAGAGAAGATGGAAAGTGTATTTTTTTCCCCCCTTGTTAATTAATTAATTAATTAATTAATCAATCTGCTTTTGTAGGCCTTGTTTCTTTTAGGATTTATGTTGCTCTCTGCGAAAAGTGGAAACGGAAAGAAAACCCTTGGGTGGGGGAGAGGAGTTAATATTTTTCTAGATTTTTTTTTTCCAACTCCATGCTTTATCTTAAATGTTATTTTTCAATTCCCACGTCTCGCCCACTCGAATTATTGAGGAAGGTTCTTTCTCGAAGGCAGAAAATGAGAATTCCATACTTGATCGTGTTTCTGCGATGGCCCAATTTTTACACACACCTCTGCAAATGTTTGCCATAATTTTCTTTCGACCCCCACCCCACCTCCCCAAAATATAAAGCTGTAATTTGGATAAAAACAATCACAATTCTAAAAACGCCTACACCCGCAACCAAAAAGCTTTGGCAGCAAAAATGTGGTGCTGGTGCATTTTTGTATCCCCTTGCGTTCAGCAGTGATCTGTTTCTTTGAAAAAGCAATCCACGCTGGAGACATTTTGACTGGAAGGCTTATTACTTATTGATCGCAACTCATCAAAGGCCACTCTTGAGATTTGTAGGACACCTTTCCATACTGCTTATTCATCTCAGTTGCATAGCTTCACTTTCGAGAGTAAACATTGATCTTGCGAGCTTCTGAACTCTTCTGCTTGTAAAGTTTGGGTTATGTTAACACTGTGGTTAGTTTTTGCTGACAATGAAGGACAGTGGGAACAATACAACCATTTGGCCTCTGTTCACCTAAACCCGGTTGTTAGTCGATTGATGAAAGTCAAATAGACCATGAATAGAAGCATGATATCTTGGGATGAAAGCTATTCTGTTTAATTCATCTGAATTCTACAACCTTCAGTCATTCTTGCCCAAAATTACTCTTTCCCTGTAGATGTTTTTCTAATTTTTTGCTCATCAGATGGGAGTTAGCATTTTTTCCCCTCTCATACCAGTGAAGGAGACTTTAACTGGTTTATAGGTCAGCCGCTTGATCAAAATAACAATAGTAGGTGTCGGAGAAAGTTAACTTGCTTATTTCCCGGAGAGTTTTGTAACTAGGATCACTTAGGCAAGTCCTCGGTGAAGGGATGCGTGGTTTGAGGCAATAACATTGTGTAAGTGGCTTCACAGTTAAGGTGCTGGTGGTTCGGGATGCTAAGTCAACACCAAACTCTTATGCCTGTGTCGTGCTGGCTTCATTATTTAGGACATGCGTGTGTTTAAAAATGACACTATTTTATTCTTCCTTGGAAGGTTAAGTCTTTTTAATTCTCTGTGAATTTAGGGCGTGTTCAGTCAGCATTCAGTAGCACTTACGAACATTAAGTGAAGGATAGGCAGCAGATCAGATTTAGTATTCACCAAACATTTCCTTCTGTATTCTGGTTTACATTTTAATAGAAGCCACTTTTAAGTTACCCAGCGACCATCCTGAGTAAATCCCACAGCACTTTGGGTCATTGAGTGATTTAATTTAACCCACTGTGTATTCTTTTATCAGGGGTGTGATTAACCCAGTTGGCAATGCCAAGAGCAGTAGGACTGCCCCGCTCCAAAGCATCTCTGTTGCCGAAGGACATTCAAAACCTGTCCTGTGTCTGGAAGCGACTGATGACCTGCTGTTCACTGGATCCAAAGGTGAAGATAATATTGTGTGGCAAAGATGCAAATTGATTATAATGAAGGGGTTAAACTTACAACTTACTCTGGCTTTCATGTTGTATCTTGGAACCAAATAGTCAAAAGATTTTCTGTACCAAATAGTAGTGGAGGACATAGGGTATGGACAGATGGAAATGAAAGACTTTGTGGGATGCAATGGTTTGTGTGTTTTGGATGGAGAGGCAGGATGCTGACTGTGGAGGGAGGGATGCAAGGGTTGAATGGCAGAGATAGACGATTATTTTTTGGCAGCTATTGTTTGCCTTTAGGTGTGACAGTACCTTTATAATTCTTTCCCTCGGGAGATGCCGAGTTGATTGAGACCCACGATAGACTAGCTTGTGCGTCATTCGCTGTTGAAGGAAGGAGTGGGCTCGAACGGGTTAAGTGTCCGTTTCACAATCCTTTCGGCTTTTGACTTGTTTAAAATAGAGCAGACGCCGAATTGTGAGATTTTGATTTTGAGTCTAATTCATAATCGTTTTGTTCTTATGTTCGTTGTCTTCGCTGTCTTCTGCTCACCCTCATGTGCTGTTATGTTTTCAGATCGCACTTGTAAAGTGTGGAATTTGGCCACTGGCCAGGAAATCAGTACTTTGAAGGGACATCCGAACAATGTGGTCTCTGTCAAGTACTGCAGCTACTCCAGCCTGGTGTTTACTGTTTCAACATCGTACATTAAACTGTGGGACATCCGAGATTCTCCCAAGTGCATCAGAACGCTAACGTAAGCATAATAAAGGCGTTAGTAATTCTTGCATTTGGTAAACGTTCCTTTCACGCCAGGAGGACATCTCGAAACGCTTCACAGAATATAACTTAATTCATGTGAAGTATGGCGACTGTATATTTTGTACAGCGAACAAAGGAATTTTACTCCTAATGGAAGTCTGACAATATTCAAGGCCGAGCTATTTAAGGCCAAACTGAAGAAAGATGGCACAGTTAAATGCCATCATAAATATTCATGATCTCACTATCTTCGAGAACAGAGGTTTGCATTTAAATAGCGCCCTTCACCCTGGATAGCATCTCGGAATTGCTTGATTATATTCATTTGTGATTGGATTTTTTTTCATCTTTTTATCTGTTCGCCACTATTTTCTACTTGTGTATCTGTTTTTTCTTCTTTCATAAAGAATGGTTATATCTTCAAAGCAAACTTGTCTTCAAACCAAAACCTAAGCATTCGTGAACAAATCAATCCTTGTCCAAACTGCACTCCTCTAAATAAAGACATCAGAAAGAATTATTCTCAAGGCTTTTAAATAATGGTTTACATTAATCCAAATTAGGTTTATTTGTGGCTTTACTATTGCTGTAATGTCACGGTAGACTTCATAGGACATCAGTGGATTAAATGGGAGGTTTATAGATATTGATCACTCGTAGGTTTCTGTCATAGAATTCTGTCAAAGAAATCAAAATAGTCTGAGCAGAAATTCACACATCTAGTCATTAATTTCAATCTAATAGTAATAATAATTTTTATATTTGATATAGCACCTTATCACATCGTTGAGATATCTCAAAGAACGTCACAGGATAACATGTAAAGCGGATTGACTTGTGTATTTTGTGGGCGAAATCTAATCTGAAAAGCTAATCAATTTAAACTTAAACCATTGATTCTTTAACTAGGATTCATGAACCCAATTTTAAAAATGGACGTTTGATCCTAACCTATACCTTTGAACAATGGAGAGATTAAGATTTCCACTTCATTGGAAGAAACCGACTGTAACTTTGGCTTGTCCTCATTGCTGTTTTATTGTTGTTAATTATATACTTGCTTGTGGATGGGAAGCCAATTTACAGAGCACTTGAGCCACAATTGGAATAAAATTGAGTAGGGTCCAAAATGCCAGTGTGTAACAGTTTGAAGATGAATGACCATCTGCTTTCCTTATTGCCCAGCTCCTCGGGTCAGGTCATTTCAGGCGATGCGTGTGCCAGCACAGCCAGCAGAACAGTCAGCATTGCCCAAGGTGAGCACCAGATCAACCAGATCGCATTGAACCCTGCTGGCACTCTCCTCTATGCTGCTACCGGAAACTCGGTTCGGATCTGGGACCTTAAAAGGTAAGATTGCTTTACTGAATGCAATACAATACAACATTACATTTATATAATGCCTTCCACGTTGGGAGGACGCCTCAAGGCCCTGGACAGTCAGGGATTTGACCCGAGCCCAGGTGGGAGGAGGGATTGGGGTGAGGGAGGGTGGAGGGCAGGGAGGATAGGAGGGTGGGCTGAAGGCACGTTGGAAAAGGAAGGTTTGTTGAGAGGTGCCTTGAAGGAGGCAAGGGAAGGGAATGTGGGTTGGAGCTCCAGAAGGTGGGGATATAGAGAGGCTGAAGGCCCAATTGCCGATGATGAAGCTGGCCGGATGGTGGATATGGACCAGCCAGAGCCTGCTGAGCGGAGGGAGTGGACAGGTTGATATGGGGTGAGCAGGTCACTGAAGTAGGAAGGGGAAATACCGTGGACGGCCTCGATGGCAAGGACGAGGATTTTGAATTCCATCCCCTTTTCTGCATGGGAGTTTCAGAACAAGACATTTAACACAGCGATTAGGCTTGAGATTAAGACGGCTTTAACTATTGAAAGGTTTGAGATCCGTGAATGTTTTTTAGTTGATGATATTGCATGATCATTGCCTTCCAACTAATTTTGAGGAGTATAAATATATAATCCTCGTATTTGCCTGAGACAGGATCTAGAACGTCAAAGCGTTTCATAGCACGTCGCAGGCAAATGCTGTCAAGTGTGTTTGTAGGGGAAATGCACCATCCAATTTATGCACAGCAAAGCCGCAACAAACAGCCATGAGGTGAATAACCGATTGATTTCATACCCAGGGGTTATTCCAGTAATATAAATAAATGCCTCACCTTGCTTGCTCGGAAGAACCCGTATTTTTTTTCCAAAATGCAGTGTCAGCTGGACACCTGAAATAAAAATAAACTCTGAAACAATCGTCTCATTTGTCACTCAACAATTTGTCGCGCATTTCCTGCTTTTCGGTTTCTTTCAAAATGAACTTTTTCCATCTTAAACAAAGGATCTTTTAGTTAATTTTGGTGTTTCAGGACTGCTTTTGGTCTTCCTCCAGTATTTATGTCTTGTTTCTTTTCTTCTGATTGTTTCTTGATCTCGCTCCCCCCCCACCCCCCACCCATACCCCTTTATACCCCCCCCTTTCTCTCCTCCACCGCTCTCACTCCTTTTCTCTCCCTCTCTCTTCTTTACAGAATGCAGCCCGTTGGGAAACTGACAGGTCACATTGGACCAGTGATGTGCCTCACTGTGGAGAAGATGGCACCGAAACATGACCTAGTCATCACCGGATCAAAGGATCACTATGTGAAGGTAACGTTCTTGTAACTCGTCAACAACAACAATTTATACAGCGTCTCTCATGTCAGGAGGATGTCTTCAACCCCTTGCTTTTTTTTCCCCACTTTTTTTTTTTTTTGCAGAAGTTTGAAATTGCAGAAGGTACTCTTGGAAACGTCGGTCCCACGCACAACTTTGAGCCTCCTCACTACGATGGGATCGAGTCTTTGGCCATCCACGAGGACATCCTCTTCAGTGGCTCCCGGGACAATGGGATCAAGAAATGGGACCTGGAACAGCAAGAGCTATTACAGGTACAACACTGAATTTACATCACCTTGTTGAGGGTAAAGAGTCTATTTGATGTCTAATGCATGTGTCAGTGTATGGAATATTAATATAATTATATTAGTTGGTTTGTGCTTTTGCAATGTATAAAAATAATAATAATCCTTGTGTTTGACATAGTGCCTTGTTATGTCATTGAAACGTCTCAAAGCACTTTGCAGAGTTTGCATTATCAAATGTAAGTATTATTATTAATGTTAAAGTGTAGTAACTGTGTCCTTGTGTGGGCTGAGCTGTAATACTTGTATCTTGATTTTGTTTAGCAAATTCCTAATGCCCATAAGGATTGGGTGTGTGCCTTGGCTTTTGTACCTGGTCGCTCTCTGTTACTGAGCGGTTGCCGAGGAGGGGTGCTCAAAGTGTGGAACATAGACAACTTCTCACCACTGGGAGAGATCCGAGGACACGACAGCCCCATTAATGCCATCTGCACAAATTCCAGCAAGATTTTCACTGCTTCCAGGTAGGTAGATAACACCAGAGCAGGTTTACAGCACTCCATTAAATGAATCAATCACCCCATGAAAGGACCGGCTTGATTAATAAGAGGGGGAACGGTAAGTTGGAGGTGGAAATATTGCAGGAGTTTTGTTTCCACGGATTGATGTTATTGCTTTGTTTGGCCACTGATTAAATTATTATACACTTGTGTGGTTGATTTGGAACTGCCAGATAAATATTAACATAACCAATTTAACTCATCTGTTCCGCACATTCCTAGTGGAATTTTATCTGGGCAGTACAGTAGAAATTAACCGACCTCATTAAAACCATATCCTTTACTTGCCAGGTCTGAAAAACATGCTTTGTTCTGTTGAGCGTTGGTCGATGGGTGGGTGGTGGTGGGAGAGGCCTGTTGTGGACATCTGTTTGACATAAAATGGGTGTAAGATTTTTGCTCTCAGTTTGACTGTGCATGCCAGAACTGTACTGCGCTTTGGGAACCCTCGACCCAGGTTAAAAGAGAAGTTGCACTCTTAACAAAGCGCTTAATAATGGTGCCCGTTCTGTAAACCGATAACAAATGGAAATGATCTGACGCATGACGACCATTTTATATTTCCAGTTCTTGTGTCAGGCTTCGGTATATCCTTGGATCTTTCTTTCTCCCTCCTGCCCTCCCTCCCCACCCCACCCCCCCACCCCACACTTTCCTCTATCTCTTACCTTCCAAACTTATCGCTGCATGTCTCTCTCTCTCTTTTGTTCCCTTTCCTGTGTCCTACAGCGATTGCCGGGTGAAGCTGTGGAATTATGTTGCTGGCCTGACTCCATGTCTGCCTCGCCGCGTCCTTGCCATTAAAGGCCGTGCCAGTAGCGTTCCTTAAGCTCCTGATTTCTGCTCTGGTCCGTACTTGACTCTTCTTTGCTGCTCGTTTTGGTATGGTGATCCTCTTCTCAACCTTTCTGAATATACGTAGCCTGGACAGCCTTTAAACTTCCTTCTGAAACTTCATGTCCCGCAAGCTATTTGATTTGCCAACTATGATATCTCAATGATTACTTCAGGCTTAACTGAACGATAGCTACAAATCCTAAACGACAAACTCACCCACAAATATACAGTCGCTGCCCTTCACAGTAACATCCTGTGAAACTCTTCGAGACTCAATAAGTCAAAGATTTATTTTCTAATCTATTGTGATTTTAGAGCTTTTGATAAGTAGCTTTCCCTTCTCTGCATGGGAATAAATTAACTCATATTTAGGAGAATTGATTGACTTGAGGCTCAGTTACTCGAAGTTAAAGCTCAAATTTGGGTCTATAACGCTATTCCTCCACAAGTTATCCTGATGTCTTAATGCACTTGTTCTGTGCTCGAGCTAATTGCACCTTAATTGAGTGGAATGCTATTGATTGAATGCCACACTTCCCCATACAGTTGATGACCCACTCACTCATTGCCATGGTAAGGACATTTGCAATGGGTTATCGGGGAGAATCGGGTGGGTGGACTCCAACATGGATCAATACTGTTTTTCTGCCTCATGTTATGCAAAAAAAAATCTTAAGGAATAAAGAGTCTAATACAAGCCATAAATCCTCCCTCGAAATTCAACATGTACGTACAGATCTGCCAATGCCACCTTCAAACTGGACAATTGTGCAAATGGCTGAATGACCTTTGCTCTGCTGTGTCCCTTCAGTGTTTGTTACGGTCTTGGTGATCAATACAGGATAAGTAGGGTTTTTTTTAAAGATTGGGCAATAACTTGTAGCGAGTAAAATCTTAACTCAGGCTTTAAGCATAATTTGTGTCGTTCAGATTTGATTTTCCCTCCAGCCTTTTACTTTATTTCTTTCTTTCTTTCACTCATTTTCATTGTGCCTTTCGCTCTTCCCTGCTAACACCGCACCGCCCTGAATCTCTTGAGAGTCTGGAAATTTGTATGTTAACTGATCACTGCCTTAAACCAGAGTCTACTGCGCTTTGCTGGGGTGGGGAGTGGGGGGAGTTGGCTGCTCTTCATTGATGGGAGGTGCCGTCTTTTGGATGAGATGTTAAACCGAGATCCCTTCTCTGTGCCAGTTCAAGTGGATGTTAAACATCCTGTGGCGCTATTCGAAAGGAAAAGGGAGTTTCTCCCTGTGTCCTGGCCAACAATAATACCCCAGATTAATAAAGAAAAAAGGTGGTTCACTTCATGGCTGTTTGTTTTGTGGGGGCGTTGCTGGGTGCAAATTGGCTGCCGCTTTTGCCTACAAATACACGGTCAATAGACTTCACAATAAAACGTGGGAAGCACTTGATGACATAAGGCGCTATATCCAATACTGGAATTATTGTTGGAAAGTATTGGTGACTGTTACATTGCTAGTAGACACCCACTTGCCTGCAGGAGCTTGGTGAGTATGGTATTTTATTAGCTCAGGTTAAAAACAGAGTGAGGGGCTCAATCACAACAAATGGGTGTTCCTCAGACCATACCAATATCCCCGCAAACATAGGAGTCACTACAAGGCGAAACCTTGGGCAAGTTTCCTTACTCCACACACCTAGTAATAATCCCTCCAAAAAACAAAACAATAATAAATTGGCCATTTTCAATCCGCGCCTGTTTGTGGGGACGCCGCTGTGCGCAATTGGCTGCCGCGTTTCACCCACAAATATACAGTCAATTCACTTTACAGCGTATTCTGTGAAGTGCTTTGAGATGTCGAGAAGACGTGAAAAGCACTACATGAAATGCCAGGATTATTATTATAAGGCGGATTTGAAATTACAAAAATCTATTGCCGATTTGCTTTTATTTTTTAAAAAAACACTTCGCGGCTCAATCAAGTGACTACTTTGGAAGAACGTGCTTCTTTCAGAGTCGAAGATCTGTCGTCCGAAACCCCGAGTAACTTTTCCCCCCCACCCCCACACGTTTTCTTTCAGTGACTGCAAAATAAAAACCTGGATCACGAAAGGATTGTCAAACGAACACACGCCGGACATTATGACACTTCCCGACTGATGCGTCCGCAGTTTCGAAGTCTGCCGTCATTCTCCTCAAAGGTTACTTTCGCAGAAGAATAACTAGGATTGGGACGCGAGATTGGAAAGCCGTGTTTCGTGTCCTGACCAAAGAACAGTACAGTTTTGGTGGTGGCTCTCTGAACTGACGAGCTTGCAAGCTACCGCCTTGTAGCTCATTTCTACCACTTGATTGGTGTCGAAGTTTTGCTTCCATCAAGATAACAACAAGCTGCACACCTACATTAGGTGCAGTCTTTCTGCACGTTCGGCAAGTGAGGCTCTTTCGTGCAAGGACTCGCTCCTGCAGGAGGGTTCTCCAATTGCATTTGTTTAATTTTAACGCAATGCATAACACTTGAATGAAATCCTGTGTTGTATTTATGGCAACAGATGATGGTTTTGCAGGTGGATAAATTCCTCTTGAGATGCATGAGCAGGTGGGAATCTGTGATGATCTGGGCAGGTATTCAGAACTACTGAGTGTATGCATTGCTAATACTTCCTTCCTACACTGTTGTCACTTAGACATTGCAATTTAGAGCATTGATTCCCTCGCAGACATAATATCTGCTTTGACTGTTAGTCCGTGTTATTGGAGTATGTGGGGTGGGGTGGGGGGACCTCAATCTGAGTCTAGACGTAGACTTTCTCTGAGCATTTCTGAGCATGGCTGTTCAGGACGATTCACTTTTAATTGAAGCAGTTTGTCCTTGAGTTTCTTTGTAAGAAGTTCAGGAAACTGGCTTCAAAATGCTGACTGAATTTTAAGAATTATTCGAACGTTGAGGAAATGCTAAGAAGAAGAAAAAGAACATCACCTGGGCAGAACTTCTCCTCTCACCCCATCACAAATCTCTAGAATATCCCTTTCTTTGCAAGTAATGGAGGCATATCCTAGTGTAAGGAATTTTACAATGTGCATTTACTTTACAATCTAATTTATCTCCATTATAACTACAAGCATAAACCTTGGTCCCTGTACCGTAACTACTAGGAAGGTTATACCTGAGCACTAGAGGAGGGGAGGTTTTAGGATGGAAATAAAATCCCAACCTTAATTTTGACTTGACCGTTCATCTTAATGAACCATTCCAGAGAATGAGCATCACTTTAATTCAGTGGATGCAAACGTTTAGGATGGGGAGAAGGGGAGAAAATCCCTGACCATAAATTTAGGAATAAGTAAATGTCTGTCACAAGCAAACTCTGTAATGCTCGGTTCTGTTGCCTATTCTGTGCGTCTGAATGCTGGATCTTGTGTGGAATTACACTTGGATTGATCATCAGGGCCTTTGAGAAATTGCGATGAGCTTGTGTGTTCGAGGGTACTGTTTTTTTTAACTGAAGTGAACTGGTACAACAGGCAGCAATTTGTTTCCATCTCCCAAATGAAAAATCATCTCTGAGGTGTTTGAACACCTTTCAAACCTTGAGGGAAATGTCCACTTTTCACAACATAGATTTGGCAACGTCTGTTGAGCCACCTCAATACACCTCGGTGGAAGAGAGAAAAATATTCCAACCAAGATCTTTGGGATCTGTGGACCTCTGCTAAACAGTAGATTAAAAAGTTTGGTTGCTACAGGTTGCAACCCCTCTTTAAAGGGTTTTGAAAGTCAACCTTTTGTGCGCACCAGTGTTAAAATATTGCTTCTCACATTTGCGGTACTTGTGACAGTCCTGATCTGAAGTCATAATATGGGTTGCTCTATTGTGTTACATTTTTACTACCTCTTTTCACGCACACACCCCACAAAGTTGACAACCCCCCACTAACCGTACTACTGATTTCACTGGGATTTCACTGCCTTGTGTTAAGGTGCGTTTTATTTAATTGCACAGTTTCCTCGAGCATTCCACATGCCAAATGCAGGCATGTGCAGGGTAAGGGCACACTTTGTAACTACCTCTCCTATTCTGAGAGAAGTCCAACCAAGCATTTGCTTCAAGGAACGCCTCACTTTATTTATTCCTCTGGTGTATTTTGCAAGGTAATTTTTGAATCCAGTAACTTGAGCTAAGTTGCCAAGTTCACAACCGTGTGCATCGGTTTCAGCATTTTACAAGTGGGGTATCACATTTGCTCTCTCCAGCATTGAAGAACATCCTTGTTTTTTGGCTCAGTATTCTGTGGGAAGACCCAAGGATTGGTTGGATCTGCTCACTTCACTCATTTTCGTAATTTATCCAACCCAAAATACAAGCTTCGAAGATGTTTTTTTTTTTGGGGTGGGGGAAAAAAAAAGAAAAAAATCTTTGGGGCAATTCCCAAGAGAAAAAAGGGGCAAAAACTGGTTGTCTTTTTGTGTCCAATTGCAAGTGTGAGTTAACCTTTGGGTTCGGGTGATGGCAGCCTGGCCCAGCTGGACAGAACTACTGTTAAGTGTAAGTTATTTCATGTTTACAGTTTTGATTATTCTGGGATGTACCTTTGTAATATAATCGTTTAGACTGCAGAACTGTGCCATGTTAGATTACTGAGCCACGTGCAAAGTGTCCAACACTCTTGAATAATTGTTTGCCAGTCGTAAGTAAATGTAAGAAGTCAGTAGGGTTTAGAATTGCTTGTAAATAAGTGTAGAAATACTATGTCTTGACATCTTGAAACATTTTACCACTGGACCTAAGATCGCAACACAGCAGGTGTTGCAATGCACCACTTGAATGAATACCGAGCGTATTACTGCCCATTCAGTACTCGGGTTGAGAATGGAGGCAGACAATTAAACTTACACATCCAAGTGTTGCACAGTAAACTCTCTGCCCATTGTACTTTTGACATAGCATTGTATTTATTTCTGTGTCGGTTGGTCTACTTCAGTTTGAAGGCTCTTAAACCCCTTGCAGTATCGACAAAGTCACCGCCGGATGTTAAGTTAAACAAACTTGATGGTCTTTGAAGCAGAGGAAGGGAAGAGTGGTTGTACAGAATCTTCAGTGTATTTCCTATAGGACTCCTAGAATGTAATTTTTTTCCTTAAGGGTGAAATCCCTTACCCTAGATGTGTGAGAAGGTCACGAGTTATTTGATAGACTTCCTAGATTGTCCATAGAACACACCGCGATTAGTTCTCTTTAGTAAGCTGTGCGGATCGGAATAGGAAGCTGATCCGTCAGTCTTGATGTGTTGATGTGATGGCTTCGGACAATGTATATTGTAATGACATACACCGCAGGCAAAAGGAAACACTGTCCATTTTCAATGTCGGGTCAATGGTAGCGCATACTGGGAATGGAGCGTGGGAATAACCGAAGCACTACTGTGAAGATAAAGTGCCTTTTGTAATTCTACTATTCTTGCGTGTATATTTCTGTAAAGATTTTTCTACATTGTGCAAGTCCTTTTTTGGGGGGGAAATGTTCCAAACTGTAAAAAAAGAAGAGAAAGTGTAACAAGTGTAAAAAGTTATTTAAGATGTTACACAATTGTTGAATGTAAATACTGTTCAACTGATATTAAAGTTATGTGTGGCAATGCTGCTTTCTTGTTGCTAATGATCAGTGATGAGCTCCGAGTCTCTTAACATGGTGAATTGCTTGTGGATATATTCCACGCGTTCTGTTCATACAACACGTTGCATGTATATAGCGCCCTTCATGTGAGGTAGCATCTCCGATTGATAAGCACCCGTCCACACATAAGTAGTGTAAATCTTGACTGTTCAAGCACTTAAGCTCTTCTGCACTTGAGCTAATCTTTATTTAAACCTGCTCAACATGTACAATGAGGGTAGTCACTGTTTCATTAGTTTGACCAGGCTGCAACACATTTATTGTCTGTATTCCTGTCTTGTCACTTCTATATTTGGGTTACTGAAAGCAATTCTCCCCCCACACCCCCCCCCCCCCCCCCCACACACTATTATTCTGCAGACCAGTGTACGTGGGCTCAGCATAATTAGCTTTCTGTTAAAAACTGTAATCGATTCTACTTAACTTGTTGGGCATAAAGGACAAGCCTCTGAAGTAGTCTGGATCATTTTCCTTTTCTGTGAAGATCTAAACAGCTCCTGCCTTTCAACAAATCTTACAAAGGGTTAAAATCTGCTTCCGTGCCATTCGCAGTGTAAAGGCAAAGTTGTTTGATAATTGGTCAAACACCAGACTTTAAGGAATATTGCCCATCATCTCTGCAAATTTACGTCACAGTAAGGAGCCATTCAGAGCATCGTGCATTTGCTGACTGCCTGAAAGAGCTTTCTATTTAATGTAATCTCTTGTCTTTTCCCTGTACCCTATACAATGGAGGATTCCTATGGGTCGCTTTGAGATAACGTCTAAAGACCATTTTTTAAAAAAAAAATAGGTTATTTCAGCCAACCACAGGAATTCTTGGATTGTATTTTCAGGCACTTGTGGTTGTAATTCACTATACTGCCTCTCTTTCAGGCTCGATTAGGAGGTAATGAGCATTAGCTTGAGTGCTTGACTCCAGACAATATTTTTGAGCTCCAGCGCTGCCAAACAGTTGATCTCTATTGTCCGAGCGGTTCTGCTGCTCTTTGACCAGGTTATTTAACAGAGGATTGTGATGAGAGTGAGCCTTTTCTCCCTCGCTGAGCAGGATAGCGTGACATCTGTCTCCCCCTACTGTGTCCCATATTGATCACTCATGGAAAAAAGACATCTTCAACTCCCTGTTGACAGTGAAGCCTGGTAGTGAACAGCTGGGAGACGGAGACTGCATTTTGTGATGTGTACGATACAGAAATGTTTTACCTCTCCCACGTAATAGCTGCATTAATTCCGCTCAGTTATTTCCCCCTATGGTATGATTAAATAGACCTCCAGGGTACAAATACAAAGATCAATCTTCACCACATCTATTGTAAACAGCTCTAGCAGCACTAAATTGCTGCTTAACGATTTGAAAATCACTCCGTAGATTAAAATTAGTTCCATTTTTAAATTTGCTGAAAATTGTCATCCTTCATGAACATCTTCTTCTCTGAGGCCAATCGTTTCAAGCCAAATAGG